CCCTCTAGTTTCATCCTCCTATTGGTAACTTGCCCCCATGAGATGGACCATGGAGGTGGAAGCCCATCTCCACCGCCTGGGCCTTGTCCAGCCATCTCTTGTTCTGAAATCTTTTCCTCTCCTCCTCATCCTCAGCAGGCCGGGAGAGGCTCGTTAGCATGCATCCCTATGGTGCCTCTTCCCCGAGGGGCCCTGGCTTGAGTGCTTTTGGAAGCGTGACATTTCCGTAGAGGCTTCGGGATTACTCAGCATTCACACGTTGCTTCGGCTCCATGGGCGTGTCTTCCTCTCCCCACATCTGACCTGTCTGGGCTGGAGCAGATGATGATTCCAGCCTCAGCCCTGACATCCAGGCTTCCCGGCTGTCAGTTAGGCCTGGAGCCTGAGAGCGCAGTGTCCCCTCCCGGAGAAGCAGTCACTGACCAGGGGGAGCTTCCCGAGGATTCCTGCTTGAGCACCTGGACCCGCCCCCCCCCCCCCCCCCCCCCCTCCCCGCCTCTTCCTAGCTGTGTGGTCGGGAGCAAGTTTCCTCCTGTCTCCGAGCCCTTTCTCCTCACCTGTAAAGTGGGGACACCAACAAAATGAAAGGAGAGAACACCACCTGCAGTGCTGGAAGGCAGGGTCCCACAGGAAATGGGCACTGCTAACATCATCATCACCACCATCAGGAGGCACGGGACCTGGTCCTGCTCCCGAGGAGACTGGCTCCAGGAGGGACAGACCCAGGGACCCCGAAAGGAGAGAACACCACCCACAGTGCTGGAAGGCAGGGTCCCACAGGAAACGGGCACTGCTAACATCATCACCACCATCAGGAGGCACGGGGACCTGGTCCTGCTCTGGAGGAGACTGGCTCCAGGAGGGACAGACCCAGGGACCCGCCCAGCCCGGGAAGGCGGAGCATGGACGTGGCCTTCCCTGTGCCCCAGGGCAGAGCAGCTGGACACAGGCAGGAGGCGGGAGGAGGCTGGAGCTGGACCTGCAAGGGCAGGGCAGTGTGGCTGTGCTGTGTGTGTGTGCACACTCGCACTCATCACACATGCTCACACATTGCTCACATGCTTATGTACCTGCCCAGTGATTGCACACATGCTCAGTCACACACGATCACACGTGCACTCTCACACCTTTGCACACTAAAACACACACACACACACACACACACCCACACCTCTCACAAACCCACATATAATCTCACACATACACACACTGTCACTTTCATGCCCCTCCTCACACTTGTGTGCTTACACACACAGGCACATACACATGTAGAGGCAGAAGCAGAGGCACCAAGAGACACAGCGATGGACAAAGAGAGACCAAGTGGGAGACAGGCTGATGCCATCGGAGAGGAAAATGGCAGTGGAATCAATAGAGGTTCCCGGATGTGACCACAGAGAGGGCCCAGGGGAGATGGCACCCCGCCTGGCTGCACAGGTCAGAAATGGCCAGGCTGCTGGGGGACCTGGCTGTGAGGTGGGCGGTGCGCTCCGTCGGGGCTGTGCTATGTCCTCACACCACAAGGAGGTTTGGGGATTTGAATAATTTGTCCGAGGTCCCGGGTAGCATCACGGCCAGCACACAGGCTGTTTTCTCACTGGGGAGGGCCAGCTTTCTCCCGCACCCACCGCATGCCCCTCTCCTCGGGTGACACAGTCCACACCTCTGAGCAGGCTGGAGCTGAGGGGCTCTGTATGGCACCCCCTCTCAGCCCACCTGCTACTCTGTCGCTGCTGCAGGTACACCTGGGGGCAGCTTGCCTCTCTGCACTGAGTCTCTGTTTCCTGCCAGGCACCCCCTGAGGCTTGCACACACCTGGGAGTACTGGGCAGGGAACACCCCAACTGGTGACCCTTAACCAATGGGGGAGGGAAGTCGGTGGGTGAACACGCCCCTCTTCTAGCTCCAGTGGAAAATTCTGAGGTGAGCCCTAGCTGGTTTGGCTCAGTGGATGGAGTGTTGGCCTGCGGACTGAAGGGTCCCAGGTTCCATCCCCGTCAAGGGCACATGCCCGGGTTGCGGATTCCCCAGTAGGGGGCGTGTGGAAGGCAGCCAATCCACGGTTCTCTCATCGATGTTTCTATCTTCCTCTCCCTTTCTCTCTGATCTCAATAAAAAAAATATTTTTTAAAACATTCTGAGGTGCCTTCTCCAGGGCTCCTTGGAGGGTCCCAGAGGGATGGCTCCCCATTGTCCCCAGCAGTGACTGCAGGGTCTCACACCTCATATTTCCTGCCTCCTTTCCCCAGGAATCCCTTGCCCAGTAAACCACCTGCAGGCGGGCCCCTGTCTCAGGCTCTGTTTTCAGCCAAGGCCCCAGATGGGCTCTCGCTGGGCTCAGGCCCAGGGGAGCCAGTGATCTCTCCGCCCCCTTCGCTTTCCCCAGGACACCAGGCCTCTGCTCTGCTCTATTGTTTGCTGGATTCAAGAGCCACCACATTTCTCCAGGGGGCAAATCACTCTTGTTTATCCAATGATGGGTAATTCTCTGCAAAAAAAGATGCCTTCAGCAACGAGGCATCCTATCCAAGCTGATCCTGGGATGGGGGAGGGGTGGGGTGGGGAAGCCCTCTTCACTTTACGACACGTGTCATAGGCAAGTCACCCACGTAGCCAGCCATGGTCTCAGGTTGTGTGGGTACATGCATGTATATGTGCGTGTGTGTGTGTTAAAGTAGATTTACTATGTCTTTTGATTGCAAAAGCAATGCATGCCAATCATCCAGATTACAACAATACAAAACATATAGCTTGAAAGCTGAAGGCACCTCCCACCCTTTTCCCTGAATGTGGTTATTTTTAATGGTCTCTGGACCAGAACATTTTCAGCATCAATCCTTAAGGCCTGATGCCGCCACCAGGGACAGCCAACACACGTACAGAGTGCGTTTCTTCCCAGGGCAATTATTGATTCATTCGACGACTGTTTTGAGTACTGATTAGGTGCCAGGTACTGGAGAGGCAGCTGTGAGGGAGAGCGCTGAGGCTTGAGCCTGGCCGCCTGCCTCCGACTAGTTGCATTTTCCCGATCTCCTCTGTGGGCAGCTCTCTCGCTGGAGTATATACCTGATAGCCTCTGGCTCCCGGGGAAGCCCAGGGAGAGTGGCAGCTGTCCGCAGGGGCTTCCCACATCCACAGTAAGGGCTGTGCCCATACCCAGAATGCAGAGCAGGATGGGAATGTGCTGTGCTGCTTCCCGGCTGTTGCGCCTTTGTCAGGAGCTCCAGTCACCTGACCAGATCCATCCCGCCACCGAAAGGCCCTGTTGCAGGTCTCTGCTGCCACCTGCACACAGCCGGGCCTGGTGCTCTGGCGGAGCTGGCTGGTGTCCTGAGGGCAGGGCTGGGTGGCTCCTCTGGTCTTCCCTGATGCCTGGCCAGGCTGGGTGTCCACTGTGTGCTCAGCGCATGTCTGCTGAACAGGTGCCCACAGCAAAGAGAGGAGGCTTGTGGAAGGGCAGGGAGTGGAGCAGTGAAGCCAGTAGTCAGGGCAGGAGATCAGGGCTTTTAGCAGGGGTATCTCTGTGTGGCACCCCCGCTTCACAGTGGGGAGGAGCAACTGGGGGGCACGGGTGATGGCAGAAGGCCCAGCAGGAAATCCACGGGGCCCAGGAGCTAAGGGTTGGCATATGTGCCTGGAAAGGGGAGGGACTCACAGGGGGACAATGTGGGTGTCCCTTGTGCCAAAGCAGGCCAAACAGTATTTATCAGCTCATTTATTTATTTATTATTTTTTTATTGTCTAAAGTTTTACATAAGTCTCTTTTTTCCCAAATTGACCCTCTCTCCCCCACTACCCCACTAGCCATTCCCACCCCGGGCAAGTCCCTACCACCCCAATGTTTGTGTCCATTGGTTATGCTAATATGCATGCATACCAGTCCTTTGGTTGCTCTGTAACCTCCCTCCTCCCCTGCCATTTGTGCCTGGATCTATTCTTTTTTATTTTTTAAAATTTATTTATTCATTTTAAATATATTTTTATTGATTTCAGAGAGGAAGAGAGAGGGAGAGAAAGAAACATTAATGATGAGAGAGAATCATTGATCGGCTGCCTCCTGCACGCCCCCCCACTGGGGATTGAGACTGCAACCTGGGCATGTGCCCTTGGCTGGAATTGAACCTGGGACCCTTTAGTCTGCAGCCGACGCTCTATCCACTGAGCCAAACCGGCTAGAGCTCTGGATCTATTCTTGTTCATCAAATTATGTTGATCATTATATCCCACATAAGAGTGAGATCATGTGATATTTATCTTTCTCCGACTGGCTTATTTCACTTAGCATAATGCTCTCCAGTTCCATCCATGCTGTTGCAAATGGTAAGAGTTCCTTCTTTTTTATAGCAGCGTAGTATTCCATTGTGTAGATGTACCAAAGTTTTTTTAAACCACTCGTCTGCTGATGGGCACTTAGGCTGTTTCCAAATCTTAGCTATGGTGAATTGTGCTGCTATGAACATAGGGGTGCATATATCCTTTCTGATTGGTGTTTCTGGTTTCTTGGGATATATTCCTAGAAGTGGGATCACTGGGTCAAATGGGAGTTCCATTTTTAGTTTTTTGAGGAAACTCCATACTGTTCTCCACAGTGGCTGCACCAGTCTGCATTCCCACCAGCAGTGCACGAGGGTTCCTTTTTCTCCACATCCTCGCCAGCACTTGTCGTTTGTTGATTTGTTGATGATAGCCATTCTGACAGGTGTGAGATGGTACCTCATTGTTGTTTTGATTTGCATCTCTTGGATGATTAGTGGCTTTGAGCATGTTTTCACATGTCTCTCGGCTTTCTGTATGTCCTCTTTCGAAAAGTGTCTATGTAGGTCCTTCGCCCATTTTTTGATTGGATCGTTTATCTTCCTTTTGTTAAGTTGTATGAGTTCTCTGTAAATTTTGGAGATTAAACCGTTATCTGAAATATCATTGGCAAATATGTTCTCCCATGTAGTGGGTGGCTCTTTTCTTTTTATTAATGCAGGTCCCTTTGTTAAACACAAGAATCATGCCTCCTTTAACATCATGTAGCAATTCAAAATGAATGTTTGGACTCCAGACACATTCACACAATGGAAAGAGTGCTGCTTTCTTTAATTTTCCTCCTCCTAGATCTGATGTAAGGTCCCCTCACCTTTAGAATCAAAGCCCAGACAAGTTTGAGCGGAGGTTGGCAGCTTTTCAGAATTAGTATGAGGGACTGATAGAAACAGCTGTGATGGGATCCATTCTCTGATGAATCCATTCCCTGAGGGATGGGAGCTGATGCCCAGGTTCTGGAACAGGACTCATGGATGGCACTTGGGAGCTCCAGGAGGCAACTCCATCCGGAGCCTGGGTGGCTGAGCTCCTCTCTGACCCATTTCCTCTGCTCTCCCCAGGGGCGCCCATCCCCTAAAGTCCTCAGCAACCCCCTGCCCCTCCCACATGCTTTTATTCCAAAACAACCCATCTGCTCCTCTCCCTTTATCGCAGTTCCTAAAGCCCACGGTTGACAAGGTGTTCGGTCAAGTCCAAGGAGAGTAATTTATACTAAGATGTAAGAGAATGATAGGCTTAGCCACTAGCATTTGAGATTTTAACTGAGAGTTTGCAAATGCAAACACATCATCTCACACAGGTGGAACTGTTTGAAGCCCGGTCTCTTCCAGTTCCACGTGCCTACGGGGCCGCTCCTACCCGCGAGCTTCCAGAACAGGCTCAGCTGCCGGCCCTTGGGCGGGAGGCTCAGGCCCCTCGCTCGGCGCTGGGGCTGCCA